ATCCTCATCATCACATGACACGACGAGACGACTTGCCGCGCGCGATAATAACTTTTGGTACTAACAAGGTGCTAATGTCGGGCTACGTTAGACATGGACGTGAGCGAGTACGTACGGTGAATCAATATTATGAGACTTAGCTGTAGCACTGCGCAAGGCTCAACCCAGGCGAGAACACAACACGAGCTTAGCAGCGCAAACGCATGCAAGGCAGGTGGAAAGGGGGCGTCAAATGACCAAGTGCGAGCAAAGCTCCGCCACCCAAAAACCACCTCCTGGGAGAATATATTACATGGACATCATCGATTCTTGGAGACCATCGTTGAAGATACCTGAGACGAATGCGGCGTCTCTCAAATATCGTGCTAGGCGGCGCAAGCCTGCTGCCGTTGACACAGAACGGCACCGTCTTATCCATCCGTCCACATAAAAAACACGTATACCACGTCCTGCTAGTCTATCAGCAATGCTATCAGCAATGCTATCAGCAATACTATCAGCAAAACTATGAGCAATGCTATCAGCAACGTGTACACTTGCTATCAGCAACCGTACACGGAGCGACACCCACAAACGTAAACTCATTTTTCAAATCCACTCCAAGCACCATGGTCGTCGTAAGCAACGTGATAATTGCTGTCCTCGGCGTGGTTGCCACGGCCTTTGCCGGCGATGCCTGTGGCAGTTCGCCGGCGCCAACGATTGCTCCCACATCAGCGCCCCAGCCTGTTGGAACACCTTGCACTTTCAAGGACGAGACCGAGCTTTTTCTCACAGCGAACAACGGCAAGAGACTTTATGCTTGCAACGACTGCATCACCGCTGGCGACCCCAGTGTCATGGTGGCCTCGAGTGACGCGAGTATTTGGAAGCTTCAAGAGCTCGCAAACGGCCGGTACACGATCCGGTCCAACAACATTTTGACGAAGAGCATCGGGCCGAGCTTGAACCGAGCGCCCGGCGTCATCGACCCGAACCAAGTCGTGTTCGCGTACGACCTCTCAACACAGTCGAACGTGACCGAGTGGACGTGCCGCGAGATTGGCGACAAGAAGATCACGCTCCAGAACGCCTACACCGGTGGGTACCTCAGCCGCTGCGAAGGCTGCCAGCCCAGCGCCCAGACGGCACCTTCCGACTTTGAGCCGACATTTGCACTGGCGATGCCCCACGGCAACCAAGGCCTTGCGTCGCAGCAGTGGTCGTACACGTACTTCTAGAAACATGCACAGCCAGTCGTCACCACGTCTTCAATAACGAGTAAAAGTACATCGTACTTCAAAAAATTAAGGACAACACGATTCGTTATCCAAGCGACTTGTGCACGAGTTGCCGTTCGTCTTCTGGCCCCGGCTTCCGAAACTTGCGTGTACGAAGCGGAGACTAGATAGAGTAGGTACGGTGGCAACCAATGGATGATTTTTTGCGCAAAGAGAAGGTCGTGTAAGCGAAGGACCTTGAGAATTCGAGCCTATCGATAGAGATTCGTAGTGTCATCACCATAGCCCTGGCTGCGTGGCCACTTTGCGTTTCAGCCTCATAGCCGTAGCGATTCCTGCCACGCCAACATGGCTGGCGGGCACTGTAGTCTATCGATACCTGGATGGTTGAGATATATTGCTCCGTTGGGCATACCAACAAGTCTCTCAGTAGCATCCAGCGAGTTAGCTTGACGGTCCAGCCTTTCTGCAAGCATCGTTTCCATAGGTTCAATATGACGCGTACTACATTAGGGGGTTTCAAAGCTGTTTTTTGAATCGCCGGCCGGCGCTGGCCGAAACTTTTACGCATTCTGATTGGCCAAAAATGTTTTGGGTGGTCGGACTTTCGGGTAGCCGACCGACGTTGGTTGGTCCATAAGATTTCACAGGTTTTTCCTGCCATCATGTCATTCTGCAACTGTCGCCATCATGACGCTCTGGAACAAGGACCGGCCGATCCAGTCGATTTTGATTGGCTATAATTCGGCCTGACTTGTCGCACCAGCCATTGGACCCGACGATTTCGATTTCAGCTTTGAGACCCCCTATTACAGTGCAATAATGTACGTACTTCATTGTACGTACTTTAATGTACCTGCTAGCAACGTACGGTACCATCACTCTACAAGATGTTGTCCAACGAGCGACTACCGGTGCGACCCAATAACGCCCGTTGGCAGGACGCCTGCATGGCGTCGCCCGTGCTCCGGTCGCCGGACCTCGTTGCGATCATCGTCGCATATCAAGACGGACTACCCGAAGACTTGGCCATCGTCCAGCGCCTCGCCGACGCTATCGAACGCACGCTGTCTTCGTATAGCTACCCTTTGAGCTCCTCACATCACGTCCACGTCCCTGCTCGGTTTGCATCATCGCCTTACCTCCAGCGATACCCACACCCGGGGACCACACTGCCCTACGTAGCGCTCTGTGTCTCGCCGCACTCGTGCAACCCCGCCCTCGCGCTTCATCTCTCGGTTGTCGAAGGTGACGTGGCGCTTGTCCAGCGTTGGCTGCGATGGGATTCATCACGGTGTACGTCGGCGACGCTCGAGCTTGCTGCTGCCGCGTCCCAAGGTCCGATTCTGCGTCTTCTTTTCGAGCAGTTTCCAGCGCTAGCCACTGCAAAGATGATGGACCTTGTCGCCATGTCGGGCGATCTCGAGCTTTTGATATGGCTTCACGAGGCGGGTGTGGCGTGCACCACTGACGCGATGGACGGCGCAGCCATGAACGGTCACTATGACATCGTTGTTTTTCTGCACTCTGCACGGACCGAGGGCTGCACCTTCAAGGCGGCAACGGCAGCAACCGTCCACGGTCACGCGTCGATCGTTCGCTTTCTTCTCGAGCAGCGCACCGAAGGCGTCAACCCATCGCTGTGGTTTAAACGACCACATCACGAGCACAAAACGCACAGTGTACGAGGCGAGACGCACCTCGAAGCTGTCGATCTCGTTGCAGCAAGAGTCGAGTTGACGGACGCGGCGCTCGTAGCTCTCGTGGAGAACGCGGGTCTGGCGGCGCTGCAGCACGTCTACTCGCGGGGGTATCTCAAGAGAATGACCACGAAATTGCTCGAGCTGTCCGTTTTCAACCAAGACCACGAAATGCTGCGTTACGTCCTCGACGGCATCGACCGCGAACATCCGCGACCACGAAGCGACGACGAGTGGCTACCCCACGACGCTGACAGGTGTTTTTGGTTTGACAAATGGACCAACTGCCAGGTGATGGATTTTGCGGCCTTCAACGGTGACATGACGTCGCTCGAGCTCTTGCACGCGAGCCGCCTTCGCGTCGGGTCGGAGCGAGCCATCGTCTACGCCGCCTACGGTGGTCACCTGCACGTGCTTAATTGGTTGCACAAGAACCGACGCGATGGGTGTGGCGAAGACGCCATGGCGCTTGCTGCAGCCCGCGGTCACTTTGACGCTGTGCGCTGGCTCCACGAAGTCTACGGGCTGTGTCGAACCCACGCCGCCTTGGCGACGGCAGCCTACACAGGTCATCTCGCGATGGTGACGTACCTCTTGGACGTACCGACAGGTGACTCGGGACCCCAGGGCGACGCCAAGATATGCCCGGATCGGCGCTGCACGCTGCCGTTGCCTCGGCAAGATGACCTTGGCCCTTCAAGTGGGGACTACGTCACGGGGTCGCCGGCGTACTGGGCAGCGAGCCAAGACCACCTCGACATCCTGGAGCTGCTTGTTGCCCGCGGCCATGCCCTACCGCCAAATGCAATCAATCAAGCCGTGGCGGATGGCCATTTGCGCATCGTGCGCTACCTCCACGAGGGTTTCGGCCAGCGTCCTACCGGCCACCAACCCACGTTATCTGCTGTTCGGAAGCGCCATGTCGACGTGGTCGCCTACGTCTTGTCGTATGGCTTGTGGCAAACGTGCACGTGCGCGGACGAGCACACGTGCGATCTGATGGCACTGCTTTCAGAGACTGCACGCAGTGGAAGCCTGGACATCTTGCATCTCGTTTGCGATACGTTCCAACTACAATCGCAACTGTCACCGATTGTCGCGGAGCGCATGATGGTGTGCGCGGCGGCGAGCGGGCATTTCGAGATGGTCCGGCATTTGCACCACACCTGCGGCGTAAGGTGGAAGCCACGTGTGCAAGACGCGGCGAGACGTCACGGCCACAAAAAGATGTCTCGCTACTTGGAGACGCTTCGGTTGATAGTTATGTAATAACTTCACGAATCAATCACAGAGGTCGTTTGGTTGGACCGTGTGAGGTACCAATACAAGGTTGGTAGGTTGGCCCAATGCATTGGTAGGCTTGTGCGGCGCTCAAGCCAATTGACGTGGCGGATTAAATGCACAAGTCGGCTACATGCGAATGGATGGCGTCCTGTCGACGCGTCGCGTCGAACAGATCGGCGAAACTGAGCGTTGTGCCTGGACGCATGCCCACAACGTAAGGGCATGGCTGTCACAGCAACGGTGGGGTCGACTTATCATTGCCACCGCCGATCTGGCTTGGTTGCAGGGCTTTTTTCTTGTTTGTTCCCCCTGACAACGTGGAAATGTGGTCACTCTTCTACGACAAAGTACTAGGATGCATCGAAACGAACTACACATCCGTGCGAAACAGGCGCAGCGCCTTTCTACTCGAAGTTCCCTGCGTCGACGGATGAACGATAGTGTCTACTGATTATTGCTATATCGCATTGGACATCATTCGTGCATCATTATTGTTTTCACACGGCGCACACAGAGTCGACGTGGTACCCCGTCTACGTAGATGGTGTCTTGGATGCAATGAGCTCCTCTGTAAAGGTCCAGAGCTTGGCGGCAAGCTTCATATCTTGGCCGAGCGCGGTCGTTTCGTTGAGTTTCGCGATCGGCGTAAAGTACTTGGCCGAGAGGTTCTTCTTCTCAATCTCGGGGCTCGTCGCGCAGTAGATTTGAGTTTTGGCTCCGTCGTCGGCCGTGCGCT